GTTTTCCTTTCAAAATCCTTATCCCCCCCCCCCCCCCAACTCTTGCTGGTCTCTGAAGGTGCTGTCAGACTAGAGCCTAGCTGCTGTCCTGCAGACCAAGACGGCCACCCTCTGAAATTAGCATAATATTCTTTTCTACGGTATTCAAGAGGCTGTTTCTGATAGAAACAAGACCTCGTGCTAGATGGCCAAACTTGCCATCCCCCCCCCCCAGATGTGACGGTGCCGCCAGCTCCGGTAAAAGGGGAACTCACAGCCCTTCTCAGAATTTCTCAACCACCACCTGGACATGTAAAAAGGTTCAGAGATACTGGATTGGAGTACGTACCCTTTTACAATCAGTGTTGAACATTACAACAGCTTTTAAACAATAAATATTTTTGTTAAACTGTTTACCGGATGACTTAGATAAGAACCATAGATACTTTATTTTACATGTTATAACAGCAGCTCGAATTTTATTTGCAACGACGTGGAGGACACTGAAAATCCCAACGCTTAATGAGTTGATAATGAAGATTATGGAATGTGCTGAAATGGACAGATTGACAAATATACTAAAAGGAAAAATGGAAGAAGAATTTATGGGACCATGGAGGGCGTTCTATGACTGGTTAAAGCATAAATACTGAGAAACTAAGACTAAATGAAGAACAATAAGAAAGATGGTTATGAGAGAGAGAGAGAGAGAGAGAGAGAGAGAGAGAGAGAGAGAGAGAGAGAGAGCGCGCGCCATGGCTCTCCGCTCCCCCCTTTTTTTTGTGAGCTTAGAGGGGAATCTTTAAGACTGATTTTTTCCCCATCACCTTCAGGTTAACATGGCACAGGATGGAGCACAGGATAGGTTGTTGGTGGATTTGCTGTATAGATCTTTTAATCAATTCAAAGAAAAATAACCACCTGTTTGTGAAGGTAGTTGTGTGAAATGGGCTATCAGAAATTTTAAGCTGAGAAGAAAGTTTGTCTAGGATCAGTGCTCTCAAACCTTAAGAAAACTTTTAAAAATTGTATTTTATTTTCTTCCAAAGTATTGCAATTAGAAATTTAGCAGCAAACAAAAGCAATTAAATGAGCTCTGATATTATTTTGGTAAATGTTTTGTGGTCAAACATTTCCAGTGTAACTGCAGACATTCTTAATGGGATCTTATATCCTGAAATGTTTTGGAGCAATGCCACCAACAATGTGAGGAACAGCCAACTCCACCACCACAGCACTTCCAGCACAAGATGGTACTGTGGTCACATGCAGTGGTTTCAGAGGATTACTACCTCTGATGGAAGAGACACACATCCAGACACATTGGATATTTGTTACCAGAACAATTTGGAGAGCCTGTGCAGTCACCATGAGAGATTACCCATGGGCCTACCGTGTAAACTTTTAGCAATTGCACATCACATGAGAAATCAACACCTGGCTCTAAAGAAAATATTTTTCATATATCTATTTTCTGATTGCGTGTTGTTTTACAGTAGTAATATTGACCACTGAGGAAGGCCCTAAGGGGCCGAAACACGTATGGCCTTCTGGTCATAAGAGATACCCATCAATCGTATGTGTGAAACTAACAGCTCTGTGTGTAAAAAGAGATATCTGAATCATTTCTTTTAACCTAGTTTATCTTTGACTAATGTGTACATCATAATAAATATTTGTATTTTATAACAACTTGTTTTGTTAGCTTGACCCCCATATATCACAGTGGTTTCAGAGATGCCAGATACCATCTGCTTAGGATATTACGTTATAGTTCCTGGATGCTTCGGGAGGACAAAGGAAATACATACTCTATATCTGAGCACTTGCTTGCTCACTAGGAGTCACACTCGTCTCTGTTTCCCATTTCAAAGTATATGCTGGACATGTGTTCCAAACTACTGTGCCCACAGGTAAAGGTGTAGATCATGACAGCGCAGGCCTCCTTTTTTCATAGCCCTTGTTAGGGTTCATATAGTGATATTCCGGGCTTTTTATTTGTCCAGATAAATTTGTTTAATGTACATCATTCATTAACCATCTTATATGGGGAATATGAACTTCAAAACAGAACATTTGGGGGAAATTATTTAGTTGAATTTTTCCTAGCCATGAGAGATTATATTTATCCCAGTCTTCAAAATTTTGAGACATTTCTGAGAGTGACAGCTGTTATCTTGCTTGCATTACATTTTGTAAATTAGTTATCTTCACACCCAAATGTCTCCATGATTTCCCCATCCATTGAAAATTAAAACACAAGTGGGTAGATTTCTTGATGTCTTGGGAAAAGTTGATAAATGTAATCTCTAATTTATCATAATTTATCTTGAAGCCTGATAACAGCCTATATTGCCCAGGACTTCCTTAACAGCTGGCCAAGAGGATTCACACTGCAACAGATATAACACCATGCCATCAACAGACAGACCAATTGTACACAGGACATCACTATCTGTTATACCTTTTATTTTATTATGATGCCTAATGGCCACTGGCATAAGTTTCATTGATGGGGTGAGTAGCAGGGGTGATAAAGGACAGCCTTGCTGGGTGCACCTCTCCTTTGTAAAATCATCAGCTCTAATATTATTTACTTTTACTGGGGACTGGCAAAGAGCAGAAGTCACCAGAAGAAAGCCACCCCGAATTCCATACGTTGTAGAAGGGATCTGAGGTAGAGTCCCTCCAGGTGATCAACACCTTTTTGGCGTCAAGAGACAATATACCTACTTGCAAATAATTCGGTTGACAATTAATGATAGTAAAGGTTCTACAAATATTACCAGCTATTTGTCTGTGTGGGATAAAACCTATTTGGCCCAAGACTTGTGGACCCTATTTGAGTAGAATGGTGGCCTAAAAATGGTTTCAGTAAATAAATAAATAAAGATATGTATTTTGTTTAACCCAGATGCTGGGAGGGGTTGGTTTAGCAGTGAAATAAAGCAATACAATACCACCAGCGTTGGATCCTTTAGGGATGACAACAATTCTCACTTCTGACTCAAAGATTAGCCTTTCTGCAAGGCTGGGTTACAGACCACTGCCAAGTATAGGACAAGTTGATCCTTATTGTTGTTGTTTTTTGTATAGGTTTGCTGGAAATCCCTCCCTCCCCAGAGCTTTATTGCCTTTGTAATTATTTCAGTTAACATTGTCTGGTGCATCTTAACAGGTTCTCCTCCATTTTCTACTCACAACAACCCTGCGAGGTAGGTTATGTTGAGACCTGTACCACTGGCCCTCAATCACCCAAGCAAGCTTCTGTGGCAGATTGGGGATTCAAACCTGCATTCCCCCAAACCTTCTTGGACAACAAGACAGACTTCTGCTGAACTGGAGAAAGCTTCAGCAGACTGGGGTGGGTGGGTGGGGACTGTGTACCAAAAGCCACCACACATCCAAAGGTAAAGGCTAACCTGCAGGAAGTCAAGCTTCTTAACTATTATCAAGAAAACTGGTTACAAGCTGAAGAACTTAGAAATGTCAGGGAAGGACCTGCAAAAGCAAAACAGCTTTTCAGAGAGAACGAAGGCAAGGCTGCACTTCAAAGCAAGATGGTACACAAGAAACAGGTTCAAAAGACTACAGCCCGTCAGTGGGCACGTCCTTGGAGTCACTCACCTATCCCAAACTCAAGGCATCCAACAGGACTACAACTACTTAATCCTTGTAAAGTGTGGGAGTGAAACAGCACCTTATTTACTGCGCTTAGATCCTGCCTTTCTCCCTAATGGCGACCTCAAAGTGGCTTACGGGCTCTCCTCAGTTTCATCTGCACAATAACCGTGTGTGAGATAGGTTAGACTGAGAGTGTGGTTTGACAGTCAGGAAGACGCAATTTAGTCACGTTTTCTTCCCAAAAAATCCATCCTTACTGGTTGTTATAGCCTGAGTTTCACAACTCAGAGAAAGATACAGGGCTCCATTTATAGAAAGTACACACTGTATGTTTTAAAATACCAATTTATTTTGAAACTTTTCAGGTTAGTTTTACCACAGCTACGCATTTGCAATGGTATCTTCTAGACTGCAATGGTATCTTCTAGACTGAAGGTGTGGGGTAGGTAGAAAATATTAACCTA